GTCAATTAACCTAGAAAGAATGGTTTGAATTGCAGCCTAGCATAACAATATTTTTATTTGAAATTATTTGTTATAATTTGTTCATTTTGTTAGCATTTTGATGTTTAGTGCCATAGCAGTAAATTATATAATTAAAAAAAAAATTCTATATATCTTTGCTGTTCCTGTTGGGAAAAAATATGCAATTTATATTTTATTTTATTATTTATTTACTTTTGGTAACAAAGCAATCTAATTTGTAAAAAAAATAAAAGTACAAACTAAGAAAGAGAAAAAGAAAAATCTAATATTTTATACTTATAAATAGTCACTAATTTACCAATAAATTCACTACTATAACATGAATAGTACAAAATATTATTGTAACATATCACAGTTGCATCCTTTGATTGGTAGAAAATAATCTGTTTTGCATCTTTCAAAACAGATTGGTCACACATTTCTGACAATCATTCTTCAACAGATTCCAATTTTTTAACATAATTGTTTTGCAATCCTTCACCACCCCTATCCTCAATACAAACACAATTGTTGATAAACAGCCAAGTTTCAAAGTTTCAACATTATATTAACATATTTTTAACATTTAAAAATATTCCCATAAAACTATTAATATGTATTAATTCACTATCCCACAAAAGATACTAAATGATCACATTACCATGTAATATGAATCAATATGGGTCAAATACTATATCATATGGGTCAAAAATAGCATTGGGACAAGATTTTTATTAGCCACCTCTTGGTAAAATGAAAATATAGTCAAATATTATAAGTTTGGCAATTATTATCTATTTCCTTTGTGCTATTTTTCATGACAAGTTCTTGAAACATATGGTAGGATAAGTTTATAGGAGAACTAGTGATGAAAAATTTATGAGCCATTTTAGGATGTAAATTCCGTTGTGATAGGAACTCAAGAATATCTAACTCTTTGGAAAATTCTATTTTGGTAAATTATTTAATTGGAAAGCTAAGATACAAACTTGGTCATGATTTTAAATCATCTATGATATAAAGACTAGTTTAAGGATTTTCTCCAACTTCAAATTGAATTTTGGCTTTTCAGTTTGTAATAGTGGAAATGTCTTCAGCTTAAGTATGTTTTAAGGGATCACTAGGGACCGGATGCTTTGGTTGCCTCAAAGGCACCTGAGTTGCTTACGCTTAGTTGTGGATTTCAAATCCTGTTCCAACCGGTACAGTTGGAACGGGGCCGACAGCATCCTCATGGACACATGTAGCGTGCGCACATACACATGCAGTGCACGCATGCATCTTAGCACCTCCGCGATGCTCCAGCTGCTCTACAGAGCATCGAGCAGGTGCTGTATGTGCCATACACCTGCAAGAAAGCACAGAAGCCTTTAAACGAGCTCGGGCGGGCGAGTGGGCCCTCCGGAGCACCATACTAGAACGGTATCTGGTGCTCCGGGCTGGCTCTGGTACGTGCCTACCGGGGCATGCCACCTGCAACCCACCACTGATTACACTATAACATATTGTATCTCTATCAAAAGCGCATGAAAAATTTGGATGTGGACTCTTCTGTGATATTTCAAACATAGACTAAAGAATTGGAACTTCTGATAAAGCCACAGTAATGGCTTCATGAACTTAAAATTTTTAAATGTTATCTACAGATTTGAAATTAAGGCTAATTCTGCTTGAAAAATGTCAGCAGAGCAAAGCAAGCAAAATTTATTTTAGGACAGAAAGAGACCACCTAATTTCCAGCCATCTACCCTTCTCCAAAACTTCATAATTATGTTTTCCTGGAATTTCTGTTACAGAGGAAAGAAAATTGTGGCTGTGAAAATTCTCAAAAATGAAAGTAATGATCCAGCAATAAAAGATGAACTCCTAAGAGAAGCAAATGTAATGCAACAACTTGATAACCCATATATTGTCCGAATGATTGGCATATGTGAAGCTGAATCTTGGATGTTGGTAATGGAAATGGCTGAGCTTGGCCCTTTGAATAAATATCTGCTAAAACACGGGTGAGTTTGACAGTAAGTTGGCAAATTTTGATCAATAATGGATAGAACCTAAATTGATAATTAAAATGACCACTGCTCACTGGAAAGTTCAGGTTATATGAAAATAACAGCTTTTGTAATATCCAATGAATTGTCGAAATTGGTGTTTCTTTGAATACTTCAAAAGCAAACATTTTCATAACAGTGGCATTTTCAAAATTAACATTTTCTTCTTCAATTTACTTTGAAGGCATATATGCAGGTTTGTGACATACCACTTTTTTCACTACAAGTGAATTTACTGAATACAAATATATATAGCTATGCCGTATTCATATAAAGGATGATATATTTTGACTTGCCATCCCTGCTTACCTGAATGCATGGCTACAATTTTTCTGGATTTAGTATTCCAGAGCCAAGGTGGCACAGTGGTTAGAGTGCAGCTACTGCAGCTGACTGCTAGCTGCAGTTCGGCAGTTCAAATCTCACCGGCTCACGATTGACTAGCCATCCATCCTTCCGAGGTGGGTAAAATGAGGACCCAGATTGTTGGAGGCAATATGCTGACTCTGTAAACTGCTTAGAGAGGGTTGTAAAAGCACTATGAAGTGGTATATAAGTCTAAGTGCTATTGCTATTCCACAGGTACATTCACAGAGCATGGAAGTCACTGCAATGTAGAAAAGTCACAAATGTAAATGATTGAGTCTCTTTAGGTCAGAGATGGGGAACGGTGGGCTCTTTATGACTTGTGGATTTCAATTCCCAAAATTGAGCCAGTTGAAGTTCATAGGTCATAAAAGAGCCATAGTTCCACACACCTGGTCTATGCCATCATCATGCTTCTTAATTATCTCATATTAATTGTGATATTGATCCAGTATGTACTGTATTCTTGCTAGGACAAGCCAGTGTAATTCTGGGAGTTGAAGTCCACAAGTCATAAAAGGGCCTTCGTTCCCTAACACCTGTTTAGATGAATCTTTGATTTCTGCAAAGTCTATTTTCCAGAAAATCTCTATTTAATGGTTGGCATTTGCTTGTAAATCAATCTAGCTCAAGCTTTTTAGGGCACATTCCAAACATTTGCTAGGATCAGGACAAAGAAATAAGCAAAGAGCAAGAAAATATTAATTTTATTCTAATTCAGATGTAGTTTAGATTAATTCAACTAGTGTATTTATTTCCTGTATATTTAATAATGATATGTCAAATTATAATCATGTCATTAAAATTTATAATCCATTGACAATTTCTAAAGGTTTCTAAGACTGTAGAAGATGGGGGGGGTACTCTACCTCTATTTGGATTTTACATGGAAAAAATAAAAATTGAGCAATAATGTATGGGAAAAAATGAATGCATAAGGACTGTGTTCTCTAATCAATAAAGTTGGAATATTTCTTCAATGTATCATTAGCATCCTCTCTCTACTGGGTGGGAGTGAGAAATTAAGAATGTAAAAAGAAATAGGTTTCTAAAAGTCTGGTTTGTTTTTGCAGAGATATCACAGAAAAGAACCTAATAGAGTTGGTGCATCAAGTTTCCATGGGAATGAAATATTTGGAAGAAAATAATTTTGTACATAGAGATTTAGCTGCAAGAAATGTGCTTCTGGTTACACAACATTATGCCAAAATCAGTGACTTTGGACTTTCAAAAGCTCTTGGCTCTAATGATTATTACAAGGTATTTTTTCTATCCTTTAACATGTTTAAAAACTTTTACCATCAAATGTCAATGTGAATTGTAGTGTCATTATATATAATTCAGCTTTTGCTCAACCTTATGCCTTGCACAAATTTGCAACAAATAATTATGGTTCATTGAACAATTACAATGGAACATGTTTTCTGATTCGTTTATAGATTGTGGTTAATAGATATAACCAATTATTTTTTATTGATTTTTTTAATTTTGGGTGCCATTACAGGCAGAACATCATGGCAAATGGCCAGTTAAATGGTATGCTCCAGAATGCATGAACTTCTTCAAATTTTCTAGCAAGAGTGATGTATGGAGTTTTGGTGTGTTAATGTGGGAGACATTTTCCTATGGGCAAAAGCCATATAAGGTAAATAAACTTTGTTTACTATTAAACTTTCCTTTTTAATTCCAAATCATAGATTTAAAAAATAAACCAAGATGGAGATGCTATTCAAATGTCCATTGTGACACACCTTTGTGAGAAAATATTTCAGAAATTGTGATAGTCTTATTTCAGTCCAAGCCAACATTATCTCAGTTTTCTCTGTCACTCGATTGTAGGGTATGAAAGGAATTGACGTTGCTCAGATGATTGAAAGAGGAGAACGATTAGAATGTCCAGTCGGTTGCTCATCTGATATCTATGAACTAATGAAATTGTGTTGGACATATAAGTAAGTATTCTCATATCAATAGTTTATTGAAGCTTATCAGGCTCATTGACCATAGTTAAATGTTCCATTGAAACCAGCATATAGGGCAGTGGTGAGTTTCGGATCCCGTTGCAACCGATATGGTTGCAACGGGGCCCAGTGTCCACTACATGAACATGTGCACCACGCACGCACATGAGCGCAGCGCACGCATGCATCCTTACCTCTTGTGACACCTCCGTGAGCCTCCGTAACACTCCAGCTATTCGGTGGAGCGTTGCACAGGTGCTGTGCATTCCGTGCACATGTACAGAAGCGACAAAGAGCTCAAATACAGGTAAGGAGCTCAGGCAGGCAGGTGGACCCTCCAGAGCATTGTACCGTAATGGTACCCGGTGCTCCGGGCAGGCACCGCTACACCCATAGTGGGGCATATCGCCTGCAACCCACCACTGATATAGGGTCATTGTCTACCCCTTCTTTGTAAACAAAGTGTTATCCAGGTTTTCCCCTCTTTACATATTCCAATTATACAAAATACATTTTACATCTTTTTTCCATTTTCCATTTCAGTCATCTTATCTTCATTCCATAATCTCCCACTTAATTTGAATTTCTTCTTAATATATTGACAATATCATTATTTGCCTCTCCAAGTTAATCACATTTAATATATCATTTTTATCTATTATTCTGTTTTACTGTTTGTAACATATATCCTCAAATTTAATTTTGTATATTAAACATTTCATTTGATTAGTTTATCCACACATTTTAATCTATTTCCCACACATGGTATTAAACATAAACCTTTGGCTATATTCACTAAATTTCATTCTATTCTATTAACAAATATTTTTCTTTCTTTCCTCCTTTTAACCATTTTCTCTTGGTCTCTCAGGAACTTCATTTCTCTTATGGTCTTTTCTCTCCATCCATTTATTTGGCTTTTTCTTGATCTTGAAATTTTTATATTTTTTTCTTTCGGATTCTTTCCTTTTTAATTCTATTGTTCTGGTACCTCTCCCCAATTTTTCCCTCCAACTTTCCCCACTATTCCCATCTTTGCCATTTAACCTTCCTTTTTGGGGGGCCTCTTCCCCCTTTTCTCCTTTGGGCATGTAACTATTAATTCCAATTTAATCATCAAAGTATTTTTCTTTTTCAATATTTTTTTATATTTCTATAATACTGTCCTGTTTAGTTTGGAATTCTTTAGCAAATGAAAAGAGATACATCTCATTTTTCATGTGTCACAACATATCGGTAAATACCATGATTTGATCTCTTGGTTCTACCCCCCATCCTTTTTTACCTATTCTCTGTTTCCACCTCCAGCCTGTAGATATCCTTCTTTTGGAACTATCTGATAGTATTTATAAGTAAGAAGATGAAAGGAAAAAAAATACAGATCATGACTTTGCCTAGATTTGTGGTCCTTTCCAGGGTTTCCAAAATGTCATTTCATCATGCAGTATTCTGTTGGCTGCTTCTTGCTAACTCCTGAGAAACCACAATTAAGTTATCTGATAAGGATAGCAATTACACAATAAGCTGTTCTGAAGCAAGAGAAAGTACTGGTAAATGTTGTAGTTAAAGAGATAATATATTGACTGGAAATTGCCAGACAAATAATAAAGCACCTGTTTGTCTACAAAAATATTTTTTTCTTTTTCTTCCAGAGTTGATGATCGGCCATCATTTTTTACTGTTGAATTAAAGCTACGCAACTACTACTATGACATTGCTCAATAAGTATGCTGTGGTATTGCAATGAAGACATCCCAAGAGGCAGATACAAAAGTTGACTTTTCAAATAAGTTGTCCTCCAGAAAATACTCAAAATGCTCTCTAGAAGAATCATTGTGAAAAGACCATTGCTGTAGAATTACCTTGCTACTTTTAAAAACTTGCTAGTATCTACAGTAATATTTTTAAACTGAGCTTATTTGATGTTCAAGGATCTGGCATTAGTTATACTTGCTTAGTCTATTTTAAGTCAGTTTGGTTAGGTTGCGTTCTGTCTTGCTGTTCAAATGAACCATCTTTTGTGATATCAAAAGAACATTTGTATTTCCATCATTATTGCTGTCAAGAGAATCGGATAATTTCACTTTTGAAAATTCAAAGCAGAGATTGGTTTTAAACTAGAAATGAGCCAATAAAGTTAGAAATAACAGATCATAGATTTAAAACATATGGCATATATGTGCAAAACAAAACCTATATCCCCACTTCTTTCTTGGTACTTATTATTTGGAAAAATCTAAACATCTATAAACAAAATTGGCAAATTGTTTCATATAGTAACAACATATCTCTATTATTGTTTTAATCTTTAAATTAAATAATAAAAGTTTAAAAAATAAGAAATACAGATAAACTAACAGCGCTTCACCTCGGTCTGTTGTATCATATAGTCAAAACACTGATAGGCTCTGGGAACCCTATTTATTTAGGTGTACTCTATATTAAAAGCTAATTGTTTAGCTAGGTGTCATTGAGTTAGGCTTATTTCTTGGGGTGCTGCTCAGTATTTCAGTTTATTTCCAACAATAACCCATAACTCTTCCTAAGACAATCATGCAAAATTTTCTTTTATCCTGTCCTTCTACCTTAACCTATATCCACTCTTTCTTCCATTTCTCCATCTTGATAAAGAAAGTTTGTATGTTTTATTCTATGAACACCTCCCATGTTCCAAGTTTGTGAATTTCACCTTACTAATTGTTGCCTCAAAAGACAGTGGGCCTTTATTTGGCTGAGGATTGAACAACCATTTTTGCCTGGTATTCTTATTGTCTTTAGATCCATCTTCTGAATGTTATTCTCTCATTCTTTCTCAGTATCAATATACAGTATACATTACTGTATACTGTGCATTATTGCAAAGATCATTGCTTTAACTATTCTGATCATTGTTGTCATCAAATATTATCTTGTAAAATATCCTTCAGTGAGGGTATTTGCACTTGCATCTAACAATAATACAAACATATTCTAGCAACTTCTTTATACTATTTGTTCCCATAATGTCTTCATCTTGTTCCCAGCCCACTGATGAGACAAGCTTACGGTAAGTTGTTCTAATCCATTATCAAAGCAATGCTTTCTCTCTTATAGGGAGAGGAATCCCTTAGTTATCCCAAAGTGTGTAAAATCTTAGATGCTTCTTGAACTATTCTGTCAGCAGCACAGTCAGGTGACTTCTAGAGGGTAGGATCAGCTTCAAGTTACTGCAGTTACACATTTCCCTTCAGTACCTACTGTCACCATTCTCTTTTCTTAGCCTTTGGCAGAAAACACTGGGCATAGTTGTTCCAGACCCAGCAATTTCATCAAGAACTTAACAAATTGTGAAGGTTGTCCAGATCCAGGAATTGTCCAGCGATGGGACAATACATTTTATGCCAATATTGATTTCTGCTGACTCAAACATAGTTAGCCACTTGAATTAGGCCTTGGGGAAGGGCCATCCTTGTCACAGCATTTATTTCCTAAGATGAATGTCTTCTTTACTCATTATTTTTACTTTACTTTGTGAGCCAAAAGCTGACTTACCATCTACCATCTTCATGACCAACTGTAAGCTCATGATATTAGCTTGTGATCATGAGGTGATGTTATTATAAGGTGACTAGAAATCCTTCCATGGCTAATGATCAAGATGCTTTGATAACAAACATTTGCAAGTAACCAAAACTTTCTCAGCTTAGGCATGGAGAAACCTTTACTGAACTGATTCATATAATAAGAGTTTCTAATACTGCATTATTGAGCAATAGTACTATTCTTTGTGCTTTTTGTATTTTCTGTAATATAGAACTATCAGGAAAAGAACTGGAATGTTCATGCCTTAGCATCTGAATTTAAATTTCTTGAAATGTTTCTACTAAACAGCCATCTTGCCTTATTCTCAGAACAATATCAAGTATTCAGACAGTAGGGTATATCCAACTATGCACGCTTCCCCTGTTAGCTTAACATCTCCCAGTAAAATATATTCTTCTCCCAGCATTCTATCCAAGGATGCTGCAGAAGAGTTCAGCCACTTATGGGTATTACAAGGAGAATAAAACAAATTCTTTTGCATGTGGTTACAGAATATAAGTGTAATTTTAGACGTCTCCTATTATCTTATTTAGAGAGCCAGTTTGGTGTAATAGTTAAGGCACCTGGCTAGAAAAGAGGAGACAATATGCATGAAGCCAGCTGCCTTACCATGGGCCAATCACTATATCTCAATCCTAGGAAGAAAGGAAGAACAAAAACCTTGCCAAGAAAACTGCAGGGACTTCTCCAAGTAGTCTATGAGAATCAGACAGGATCAAATGGAAGAAAAAAAATGCACACCTTAGTTTGTAACTATCTTACATTTATGTAATCCTGCATTTTTTTCTCACCACAGAAAGCCCACTAAAAAGGAAGAGTTTGGCTAACATGCCAAAACATCTTAGTATTAGCAAACTTATTTTTACATTATTATTGGCTGAAAAATTAATGATTTCTGTATTGCTTATGATGAATAAGTTCCTTAAAAACTCTTGATCAATTATATTTTCTGTATGTTTTAAAAAATGTTATTAGTTTTTAATTTTATCCTTGAAGACATCTGGTATATGTAGCCATACATTCTATCATGATTTAAGAACTATGATAATATAAAGTAAATTAGGCAATAGAAATGTATATTATTTTAAATAACTGGATACAAAACATTTTCACTTTAATTTATTTTTAAATCTCTTTAGGCATATAGAAAAATATTCTGTAATAATAGAATTGAATAGCTAATACTTAGTTATCATTTGTTAATTTTATATACATTCACAAGATCTTATTTTATCTGTTTCTATGGCAAATATATTTGTAATGAGGCAGATGAATTCAAACCCACCTGCGTATAACAGATATTGTCATAGTAATAAGATGAATGTACTGTATCTATTTAAAAATCCCGATGCATTTCCTGAATGAGAAATAGTACGTGTAGCTTAGAAAAAGAGTTCCCATCTCTGATTATACCTCCATTGTCACCTATCAACAACAGATTGTCACAATCATCACCCACAGACTTTAAAAGCTGATGTATCTTCAAATTGAAGGTGAGGCCTTTGAATATCTTTCTTACCTATTTTAAAACACCTTAAAAGATTGTTTTTCTTGTTTGTAATAAATCATTGGAACAGAAGTGGTATTCAGCAGGTTCTGACCAGTTCTGGAGAACTGGTAGCAGAAATTTTGAGTACTTTGGAGAACCAGCAAATAGGCTGCCCCTGGCCCTGCTGCTTCCCAGCTGATCTTCTTTTGTTGCCCTGAACAGAACAGAGCTGGAAAGCGGGTTAATGGGGTGGGGAGGGAATGTGGATTTTGCATTACCTTTCCCCAGGAGTGAGGAGGGAATGGGGATTTTGCAGTTTCCTTCTCCTGCCCTCTCACAAAGCCCCTCCCACAAAGCCACGCCTCTGACTGGCTTCACCCCCATCTATTCTCTGCCTCCCGAGTCCCAGCTGATTAGGGGATTTTGCAGTATCCTTCCCCTGGAGTGGGGAGGGAATTGAGATTTTACAATATCCTTCCCCTGCCATACTCACCAAGCCATGCTCACAGAATTGATAGTTTAAAAAAATTGAATCCCACCACTGCATTGGAGATAAATGTGTGGCTAAGAAGGGTGACTGAAACCACAAAAAGACAATTTACTGACTATACACAGTTTATACAAAACGAAACTTTATTTAAGCCTATACACCTTGAATTCCATGGAGCTTCCAAACATACTTACAATGGTTGCTTTTTAATTGCCTCTTTAGACCTCTTTGTGGATTGAAGGAAAAATGAGCTTCTATTTCCAGAAATGATTCAATAGGGAAACAATACAACTCCCTTTATTTTGACTTTATTGCCAGAGGGGGGAAAAGAAAAACAGCAAATAAACATTCAGAATCTCATCACCAACTACTTACTGGAATGCTTTCTGAGAGGCTTTCAATGTAAATGTGTACAAAAGAGAGAGCTGCTATAATCTTTCCCTCATCTCACTTGAATGTAGAGGATTAGTTCTTTTGACACATAAAACTTTTGTATAAAGAATGTCTGTGAAATGTGAGAAAATAAAAAAAATACCAGCCAAAATAAAGGATATATCAAAATGCAATTTAATACATTCAGACATTTAAACCTTGATATTCTAAATAAAAGGTGCCATTGTATGAATTTTTAAAATACGATTATTTAAATTATGTTCAGTTTTTATCATTCACAAAGGAATAGAATATGTTTTTGTCACCTTATTTCCACTGTCTGTAGTTTTGAAAATTAAATTTGTATTTGCCTAGGTTATTTTTTTCTAAATAGCGGCCTTTCTCTATCTACAATTTCAGTTTCTGTATGAAGTGCATTGTACATTAAAAGATATTTTACAGATGGCAATGGACTTCTTTTACAAACATTCAACATTTGTATGGAGATTACAACTCAGCCTGTAGCTTATGCTTGTTGCTCTCTAGGACTAGCATGGCCAACTTCTGTCTCATTGTTATAAATATTGATTGGCAGAGATCTCCAAAGGAGGTGTTTTTCTTTTTAATTCCAACCTTACTTCAGATTTCAGAGAAATTAAGGAATTTCTGCAACTAAGAAATATACTAAGATATATTTGAATGAGGAGTCCTTGATGCTTGTTTTCTTGCAGATGTTTAATTACCCTAACTAGGTAACAACATCAGTGCTAGAAAATCTGGATGTTCTGCTTCGGATATCATTTATCCTCCTCCCAGAAGGGAACAAGGATAAGAGGTCATGAAGAGGATGCATAGTGTCCTAGACAATCCTGTGGATCCTGGTCAAGCATCATTTACATGCTATGTCCTGGTTAGACGGAAGTGAACTGCCAATAATCTCTGCCGTCCATTCAGTTTAAGTAACTGAACTGTTTGCTGTCAGTTTATATTCTGTCTGTCTTGCCTGTCTGTGGGGGTGGGGTGGGTGGGGGCGGTCATAGAGATTATTTGGTTTAGCTGTTTACTGATGGCTCTTTGGCAGTTTCTTGATTGGGGTATTCCTTACTTAAATGTTGAAGTTATATTAATAATTACTTTGTAATAATAACTAACACTAAGTAATAATTACTTATTAATATAAATAAGTAATATTATTCATATTACTTATGAAGTTCACCTTGGAGTTAATCTATGCTGATCTGAGTGCTGATTACTGGGGGAGAGGTGCTGGAGACTTGGGCTGGTTGATTGTCTCTTTTCCATAGTCTATATTTGTTGTTGATATCTAGACAGACAGACAAGACACCAGGAATCAGCACTCAGATCAGCATAGATTAACTCATAAGGTTAACTTCATACCAACAATAAAGTAAGCAATATCCCAATCAAGAAACCAAAGAATTTCTATGATCGCCCCCACCCACACAGACAGAATATAAACTGACAACAAACAACACTCCTTACTAGCACTGATGGTGTTACCTAGGTAGGGTGATGGAACATGTGCAAGAAAGCAATATACCAATAAAGGAGAATATTTGTAGCTTCTCTTTTACTGGTATATTCCAATCTCAATTCCAATGACTGCTAACATTGTTTCAGGATTCTGGTGAACTATTTTTCTCTCTTGTAGTTCATGCAGTTCTCTCAAATAGCTCATTGGGTGATCTGCAGACTCTTTCAACTCACTTATTTTCAGAAGGAATAGGGAAACTTCTATCATGCAGAACCTTCAGGAGTGAACCATGCATATACTCTATACAAGCAACATAATGTTTATCATGTCCTTCCCATATCAGCCAAAGAAAGCAAGACATGCCTTTAACCAGCAGGTGTCAGTATTTGAATAGATTTTGCTCATTTTTTGTTCTAGCTTTTATTTTAGTGAGTAATATGAAGTCCCTTCAATAGTATTATTCTGAAATCATGAAAAGTAAATTGTATGTGTTTAGTGGGTAGAAAATGTATGCATGTCTCAATGAAAAGTATATCCTGCCTGAATTGAAATATTTTAAAATTTTGCCTGGCTCAGTTTTAGATAGATAAAGGTAAAGGTTCCCTCTCCCACATACGTGCTAATAGTTCCCAACTCTAGGGGGCAGTGCTCATCTCTGTTTCAAAGCCGAAGAGCCAGCACTGTCTGAAGACGTATCCGTGGTCATGTGGCTGGCATGACTAAATGCCAAAGGCACATAGAATGCTGTTACCTTCCCACCAAAGGTGGTTCCTATTTTTCTACTTGATTTTTACATGCTTTCAAACTGCTAGGTTGGTAGTAGCTGGGACAAATAACAGGAACTCACTCCGTTAGCGGCACTAGGGATTTGAACCACTGAACTGCCGACCTTCCTGATCAACAAGTTCAGCATCTTAGCCACTGAGCCATCGCGTCCCTTTAGATAGATGACCTTTATTGTCATTTTTTATTGTAGGCACACTGACACACATTAAAAATAAATTTCTGTTGCCTGCTATCAAAAGTCTACGCATACATAACACACATATACATGTGCTATATACATCTATATACACACGCTTACACCCATACCTATAAATATACTGTCTGTGTGTGTGTGTACATATTGGAAAGGCGAAGCTTGAGAGCTCACAAGGTTGATACTATATGGAACAAAACAAAATCAAATCTGGATGTTCTGCTTCGGATATCATTTATCCTCCTCCCAGAAGGGAATAAAGATAACAGGTCATGAAGAGGATGCATAGTGTCCCAGACAATCCTGCGGATCCTGGTCAAGCATCACTTACATGCTATGTCCTGGTTAGGCGGAAGTGAACTGCCAATAATCTCTGCCATCCATTCAGTTTAAGTAACTGAACGTTTCCTTACAGATAAACCAAGAAAATAAATCTAAAGCAATCTACATATAGTTTTAACATTAAGCCATAAGGTATTTTCATTTGGTTTTCACTTTTCTTGTATGAACTCAACATGTTTTTTTAATGTTTTAATATGATGCACACATCTAACCAATTGGGTTCTATATAACACATACCATTCATTTAATGGAAAATTCAAAGCCAGTTGAATTCAAATTCAGATAAATACATGCACTTCCCAAATACTGTGCCTTTCAGGCCAGTTCAGCCATGTCAGTGGGAAAGAGCCTGACTGGCATAAGAAAAGCAGCACTTCGCTTAAGTTCTTTATGCTTTTCTAGACTATTAGAAAAATAGGATTCAGTTCTAGTAACTCATCATTTGGTTTGTTTGTTTGTTTGTTTGTTTGTTTGTTTGTTTGTTTGTTTGTTTTTTGGTTTATTCAACTTGTATGTCGCCCTATTCCCAAAGGGACTCCGGGCGGCTAACAAACCAGGAGGGAAGGGGCACAAATACAAAAAGAGTAAAAACAGAAACAAACAGCCA